ATGTATCTAGACAGAATTTAGAGAGAAAGGGGAGAAGAGAATATCATTGAAGAAGTTCTTTACAATTGAGGCATTACACTGGCTTATATAGCCTGGAAAACTAACTTTTCTACTTGACACATTAATCGAGGTAACTAACTAGTGAGGCGTCAATTAACTACACTAAACTAATTAACTAACTTTAGGAAATGCACTGTAGCTAACTAACTCTATGTAACAGCTAACCAACTCTATGTAACAGATTTGAACACACCCCCTCAAGCTAAAGGGTGCAAAATATTAAGCACACCAAGCTTGCCTAAAAGGTATGAATGTTGAGCTTGGCTCAACCCTTTCGTTAGTAGGTCTGCAAGTTAATGCTGAGTATGAACATAGACAGTGTCAATGATTCCTGCTTTGATCTTGTCTATGATGAAGTGGTAGTCAATTTCAATATGTTTCGTTCTTTCATGGAAGACTGGATTTGCTGCTAGCTGTATGGCTGATTTGCTATCACTGAACATAGTAATAGGCATGTGAATCTGCACACCTAGTTCAGTAAACAACCCCAACATCCAAGTAACTTCAGACACAATTGAAGTAATGCTTCTATATTCAGTTTCAGCTGAGCTTCTGGAAACAGTCTGTTGTTTCTTTGATTTCCATGACACCAAGGATTCTCCAAACTTAATAGACCTCCTAGTATTTGGGCAAGTAGCCCAATCTGAATCACACCAACATGACAAAGTGGTAGCAGCTTTAGATTGTAGCCAGACTTCTTGACCAACTGTACCCTTTAGGTATTTAATCACTCTAATTGCTGCCTTCCAATGTGACTTCTTAGGGGATTGCATAAACTGACTTAAAGTTTGCACGACATAGCTGATATCAGGTCTGGTGATGGTGGCATACAGTAGCTTCCCAACTACTCTTTGATAAGCTGTAATGTCTTCAAGTATTTCATCTCCAGTATGACCATTTGTTAGATCATATTCTAATGATGTTAATCTCACATTAGACTCAATAGGGGTAGAAGCAGGTTTAGCACCTGTCAGGCCTGCTTCAGAGATAAGTTCCAATATATATTTTCTTTGATTCAAAATTACCCATTCTGTTGATCTTAATATCTCAATGCCAAGAAAGAATCTGAGTTCACCAAGATCTTTCAACTTGAATTGCCTGTGTAAATGTTCTTTTGCTTCAGTGATCATTTGGGTGTTACTCCCAGTGATCAGAGTGAATAAGGATTAGTCATGGGCACTTTGAGTGAAACCAGTAGCAACCCAAGCATTAGTTAACTTCAAATTCCATTGTCTGGATGCTTGTTTAAGCCCATATAAGGATTTAAGCAACCTGCATACTTTGTTCTTTCCTGACCTTTTGAAACCCTCAGGCATTTCCATGTATACTTCCTCTTTTAGATCACCTTGAAGAAAGGCATTATAGACATCCATTTGGTAAATAATCCATCCTTTTGATACAGCTAAGGTAATTACACACCTGACTATTACCATCTTAGCAACTGGCGAGAATGTATCATGATAGTCCAAGCCTTCCTGCTGACTGTATCCCTTAGCTACCAACCTAGCTTTGAATGTTTCCACTTCACCATATGCCTTGTATTTTATCTTGTAAATCCACTTAGAACCTACAGTATGCATCCTTTTAGGCAATTCAACCACTATCCAGGTGTTGTTTTCTTCTAAAGCCTTGATCTCCTGTTGCATAGCCTGAATCCATTTATCATCTTTGACAGCCTGATAAAAGTGTTTTGGTTCAATGCAGTCAGAGAACTTGCTCAAAAAAACTTTATAACAAGGTGTAACTTTGTCATAGCTAAGAGAATTTTCTATTGGATGTCTGGTGCTACTTTGCTTCTTCCCTGCATAGTCCTTCATCCAAACAGGCTCTTTGATACTCCTTGAAGTCCTTCTAACAGGTTGATTACTGATAGAGACACTTGTAGTAGGGATTTCTGCAACCTCAGTGGCAATAAGAGCATTAGTAACATCCGCATCATGATGAAATTATGTGTCTGTAGTAGCATCAGTCTTATAATCTAGGATGGAAGTATCAATAACTTCTAATGGAGAGTCATAGACATCCTTTGAAAGATCTGTGTGCATCTCCTTTGCAGAAAATGAAAAGATATTTTCATGGAACACTACATCTCTACTCACAAGGAACTTCCTTGACTTGATATCCAACAGTATATAACCTTTCTGCAATTTTGAATATCCTAGAAATATAGTAAAAATAGCTCTTTCTGCAAATTTATCACCCTTAGGCAATACTGAAGCATAACATAGGCAACCTATGACCTTTAGATGGGAAAGTGTTGGAATTTTGGAATGAAGAAGCTCATAAGGACTCTTGTTTGCAATGGTTGAGGAGGGCAATCTATTCATCAAATACACAGTAGCCTTGATACAATATCCCCAATATCTAATAGGTAACTGTGATTGAAACCTGATGGCCCTGGCTATGTTAAGAATATGCCTATGCCTTCTTTCCACCGCACCATTTTGTTGTGGTGTATGTGGACAAATACTTTGATGAAGTATTCCCAGATCATGAAACAGTTGAATACATTGAGAATTAAAAAATTCAGTACCATTATCAGATCTTACAACTTTAATATGTGCACCAAACTGAGTCTTGATCATAGAAAGGAAAACTTTTATGGCTACAATGGTTTCAGACTTTAACTGCAACAAGTAAATCCAAACAAATCTTCCATGGTCATCTACTATTGTCATAAAGCAATGCTTCTTGTCTAGGGTAGGAGTCTTGTATGGTCCCCATAAGTCCATGTGAACCATATCAAAACTAGCAGAAGCTTTAGAATTACTACTAGGACAGACAAGTCTCGTTTGCTTAGCCAGTGGGCAAACATGACAACTAGTAAGTACTTCACTTTTATTGCTATGAACTAGACTTAAATGCTTCATGATATGTTGGGAAGGATGTCCAAGTCTTTGATGCCAAAGCTGGATATCTTGACTTGTTGCTCTTGCAGCCATTACCTGTTGATTACATTGTTCTGTTTTTGCTTGCTTTACTGTTGATTCACCTTTGAACATGTATAATCCTCCTTTTTCCTTACCAATCTCCTTCACCCTACCATTGAAGAGGTCCTGAAAAACACAGAAATCAGGATAAAATGATACAAAGCAAGACAGTTCCCTTGTGATCTTGGACACTGACAGCAGATTGAACTTGAAGTTTGGCACATGTAGAACATTTCTCACAATTTCATTATCAAATACAACTGATTCACCAGTATGATTAATGTTCACTCTATCCCATGTAGGTAAATGTACCTGATTCTTCTGTGACTTACTCAGTTCATGACTCTTGATCAGTGATTGTTTGTGTGTTGTGATGTGATGAGTTGCACCAGAATCTACAATCCAGTCTTGTGAAATTTTTTTTGACATTAAGCAAGTTGTAATACCTGTCAATTGTCATGTTGACTCGCCTTGGCTCCTCTTTGTTCAATATATCCAGTATTTGTTTATACTCCCTCCAGACCCCACCTAGTGGGATTTCACTGGGTATGTTGTTGTTTGTTGTTTATACTCCCTTTTAGTAAATGTTTGTGCCTTTGCTAAGTGTGCATTATCTTCTTCTCCTTGACTGGTTGAAGCTACTTGAGATTGATCATAGGAGTTGTTGGAATCACTAGACACATTGTTGGCTACATGTTGTCCACTAAATCCACTGGGATATGTGGCCCTTTGGCTGTTAGTTGTTGGTGACATTCCTCTATAACCACTAGAACGACCAGTAGTGTTCTTATTACCATAACCTGCTTTCTTCCTCAACTTCCAATCACTTGGATAACCAATCAGTTTATAGCAATTGTCTTTGGTGTGACCCGTGAAGTGACAATACTCACACCTTCTTCCTTTAAAAAACCCATTTCCTTGAGCCTTATTCACATTCATCACCATCGAGTCTGACTTATCAACTACATTGGCCAAGCATGCTGAATGTTGTATTTCATCCTCTATGATCATGGCATATGTTTGATTTAAGGAATGTGTGACTCTTTTAAGCAATATTTGTCTACGAGGTTGATCATATGATTCATTTAAGCCACTTAAAAACTGAATTAATCTCAATTGTTGAAGATGCTCTATATACTCCTTAGACTGAGGACATGTACAACTAGGATGTGGTGTCACAACATCATACTCACTCCATAAAGTCTTAAGCTTAGTGAAGTAATGTGATACAGAATTTGTACCTTGTGTGAGTGTTGTGATCTTCTTGTGCAGCTGGTAGATCCTCATGCGATTGACTTTATCAAATCTCTCCTTGAGATCTGCCCAAACTGAGAATGCAGTTGTGGCATAAATTATACCACTAAGAAGCTCCTCACTGACAGTGTTCATCAGTCATGACAAGATGATGGCATTACATGTCTCCCATTGTTCGTGCAACTCATCTTTGTATAATGCCTTGGTACAGGCACCAGTTACAAAACCATATTTCCTCTTCCCTAAAAGTGCAATCCTCATGGATCTGCTCCAAACACCATAGTTTTCAGATCCAGTCGACTTGGAATCAACATAGCTCCTGATGAATCAGATTGACCAATATACAGAGGATCACTTTGATCGATTCTTAAGACAGCCATTATCAAGCTTCAAAACAAAAAACCAATACATAAGCAACAAACTAGAAGAGATCTGAACTTGCCTAGAAGAAACAAACACAAGATTAACCAGCTAGAGGAGATCTAAACTCCACTGGAATCCTGTTCTATAGATCCAGCACCTTGTGCTCTGATACCATGAGAATATGTGAGTTGATGAACACACCATTGTAGTAATGTATCTATAGACAGAATTTAGAGAGAAAGGGGAGAAGAGAATATCATTGATCTGGAAGAAGAAGTTCTTTACAATTGAGGCATTACACTAGCTTATATAGCCTGGAAAACTAACTTTTCTACTTGACACATTAATCGAGGTAACTAATTAGTGAGACATCAATTAACTACACTAAACTAATTAACTAACATTAGGAAATACACTGTAGCTAACTAACTCTATGTAACAGCTAACCAACTCTATGTAACATATTTGAACAATAAGACCATACTTGTTGAATTCTTTGAGATTCTCAAGTAATAATTTGAAATTTTCAAACTGATGATTCTTGACAGCTAAATGAAGACAAGTCTCACCACGAGCAGTCACTTCTGCTGCAGAGTCTGGAGAAGCCACAAGAAGCTCCTTTATAACATGTTTTCTGCCTTTGATTACTACATAGTGAAGGGGAATTCTTCTGTGCTTCCCCTTGAGAAAGCATAGATTATGGTCAATGTTCAAGAGCTCCTTCACAATCTCTATATCCCCATTTGCTGAGGCAATATGCAAAGGGCTGAAACCATCCTGGTTTAGTTCTCTTGCAAATTCGGGCCTCAAATGAATGATCTCCTTAGCAAACTCAAGATGGACACTCAAACAAGCAATGTGCAGAGGAGTTTCATTACTACCTGCTAATGAAACTGTGCTGAGCAGAAAAGGGACTTCTTTGATCAAGCTTTGCAAGTGATGAACATCTCCTTTTTTAGCAGCCTCCCTCAACCTTATGTCTATTAATTCTACCAACGAATTATGCAATTTTTTCAGTTTTTATCGTTTGGATTTTAGTTTCTTTCATCAAGTTGTGCTCAGCATAAAGGAATATCTCAGCTCTAAAAATCTCAAATTCAACTCTTTTAGAAAAGAGTTCAGTTTATCTTGTTTAGGATGAGAGTTTTCTTCTTGAATTAGCAAGTCTCAGTTTTATTAAATAGTAAGACAAATGTTAGTTATCAATAAGTGGCTCTCTTTTGATTTTTTAAGTTCAATATGTCAAGCAAATTATGGTGAAAAAGTCAATAAAATGTATATAATTGTTGTGACTAAAATCATACCTAATTGAGTTGTAGTTTATTTAATTAGACTATTTGGAGTATTTATGTATTTCTTAATCGTGTATTTAGATATGTAAGCAATTCAAAGTCAATGTAATGTATATAATTGTTGTGCTAAAATCATCTGAACCTTTGTTGGATGGGTCAATTAATTCAGAAAATGACATGTATCTATTAACTTGTTGTTATCTTGTTCAAATAGTGATAATGAATTATATAGGTTATGTTTAATAAACTAGTATGTCAATTCATTGAAATAAAACTGAGGATTAAGTTGAATTGTCAGGAAAGCGTATTAATGGAATTTGATAGTATGCCGCATCCCCCGATGAAATTGACAATAGGTACCGATGTAAGTTGTAATACCTCGTTACTTGAAAGAACTAGAATTAGAAAGAATCCATTTTTGGAAATAATCAAATTTGGAAAATTTGACAAAGTTAAGCTAAGTATGAGTTTTGAGTTAACTTCAAACGACCATAACTCCTAGCTCAGGATGATTTAGATGTGCTGCAAGATACCGTAGGAAAGATCTTTGAATTATCCTTCTAATGCCTCCAAGTTTCCTCAATTTCGAGTCTGTATGAGGGAGATATGCCCGTTTGAAGTCGGGTTGTCTAGATAAGGAAAGTAAAAACCGGATTTTGAAAGGGTATTATGGTCTTTTCACTACCCAATTAATTAAATTCATTTTTGGTAATTGATTTGGGGTCTAAACTGATTTGGTTCAGTTTACACTTCATAAAAATAAGTTAGGATTTCGAGAGAAGAGAAAAGAAGAGGAGAACAAACAAGGAATTGTCGAGTTCTTGAAGTTATGCTTGTAGATTTCGCCAAAGATTGATCCCTACAAGGTATGTGAGATCACATAGTGTTGGGTTCGTTCACGCACGCACCAATCATGATTTAATTCAGCGAAAGTATGTTTTTGAAAGTATAGAAATTGAGTTCTTGATGGATTTTGTTGAAGTTTCTATTAGGTTCTTGATTGCTGAAGTTGTTGAGGAGTTCTTGTTTTAAATTCATGAAATTAGATGTCGTTTTGAGTAGATTCTTGCATATTTTGGTTATGTAGTCGAATCTAAGTGTTTGGAGAAGGAACCAATCAAATCTAGAGAGCTTAGAGTTGAAAAACGACCAAGGAATTCGTCAAAACCTAGGGAATGGGGGTGGGGCGCCGCGCCACTCAGAGTGCCCCATAACAGGTTCTGTAGTTTGGCCTCTGGGGCGCCGCACCAGCCAGTGCACCCCAAGCCAGGCTTTGCAGTTCAGACTCTGGCGCCAGGGTTGTCAGGCCTTCCACCCTTTGCCACTTCTTTCTGTTTAAGTTCCCTTGAAATGTACCTATGTTTTCTAATTGATTTCTATACTCTAAGGTACATCTAAACATCATGATATCATCCATAAACATGAATCATAATATTGAATTCATAAATTCAAATTCAAGGAAAGTTAAGAGTCAAGTCAAGAGAAGTTTTTAGAGTCTTCCAAAAGTCTTTTACAAATGTTTTAACTTTGTTTTAAGACTTGAGTTTTGAGTTGAGTAAAGAGTAAAGGTTGAAGTTCATTTTTTCAAAAAAGTATATCAAGACTATATGTATTCCTAAAGAGTAAATATTTTCACATTTAAACAAGAAAGGAAACACTGATTTCCAACAGAGCCTTTGAGTTAATTTTTCAGTAAAGAGTAAATGTTTTCACAATTAAGTAAGAGAGTAAACTTTGATTTCCAAGAGAGCCTTTGAGCTATGTTTTTGAGCAATAATCTCAAACCACATAAAGAAGTCATGTTTTTAAACATATGAGCTAGTTATATTTTGGGAGTAGTATTGAGCACCGATATGGGGGAGAGTTCAGACAACTCACAGCCCCCATAAACCATGTAGCCATCATGGGTAGAAAAGGGTCATACTTTTTAGATGATTCCTTAGTGCTTTTTAGCATAGCTTAGTGGATCCACTTAGTAGTTAGGTTATATACCCCCGGCAAGGTATAGGACGGCCCTAGCAGTATGAGACAAAACGTTGTATTATCACATAGCTCTAAGTGATGGTTGTCGGTTAGAGAAACTCCCACAAAAGTATTTTGTATTCTTATATACACAGAGTTAATTGTATTTTTATATACAAATAGAGTTTATATCGTATCTTTGCATACAACTGAGTTAGTATTGTATTTCTCAATACACATAGTTGTTATCCATGTTTTAAAAGTTTTTCTTTATATTGCTTTATATTGAAATGAGTTACATTGAGTTGAGTTGAGCCCATGTATGTTCTTTCAGTTCCTTTCAAGCTTACGTCTTGTTTTAGAATTCCCTTCTCATGCCTGTGTACTGATGCCAGTTGTCTTGCATCTTTTTATGATGCAGATTCAGGTAATTAACCAGGATCAGCATCCAGCGCATCGTTAATTCAGTTGAGCTTCAGAGTTGTTGGTGAGCCTCCTTACTTCTGGAGGATCCCTTTTTATTGTTTTATTAGTTAGTTCATTAGGATGTCGTGGATCTTGTCCCGACGTCCATCTCAGTTGTTAGAGGCTTCATAGACAGTTAGTTGATGTTAGTTCTTGAGTCTTTCCATTTCAGTTACGCATGAGACTTGAGTTGTCACTTTGGCCAGTGAATGTTTAATTATAATACTTTCTCAATTATCTTTGAACTTTCAATTTAATTTTAAAGTACATTTATGTTGAGTTAAGTCTTCCGCTAAGAGTTAAGCCAGGCCAAGGGTTCGCTTGGGTCCAGCAATGATTCTCGAGTGTCAATCCCGCCCAGGGTGTAGGCTCGGGGTGTGACGATTTAATGACCCTCCAGGTCATTTCTGTGTTTTTCCGTCTGTGTGTCATTTAGAGCATTCCTGTAGAGACCCCAAGTTATTTAAGACTTGTTGGGACTGACAGTTCGGTCACCTGGTCGTTCGTTTGGTCTTGGTGCGAGTTTTTGTGTTTTGGAGCTTATGAACCTTGAACGATCATTTTCGATCAAAATTTCAAGAAGATGACATCGGAATCTAATTCTGACGATTCCATCAGCTCCGGAAGTGTCATTTTAGGCTAGTAGCATGGTCGACATAACTCCCAAAGTTTTCAGTGTGAGTCGGTGCGATTAGGCGTTTTAGCTTTAAGTTTAAGCCTAAGTTTGACTTTGGTCAACATTCTGAGTAAACGCGCTCGGATGAGAATTCCGTCAGTACGGTTAGCTCCGGAATGTCGAGTTTGGACTAGATTGACCTTTCTTTTGTGTCCCGAGGTTTTTGATATCTTTCCAAGCCCTTTTGTGAGTTTTGACTTAAAATAGGTTTTGGAAGAGGGATCCACTTTTTATCGAGATGACCTCTGATGAAAATTTTGACTGTGCCGTTGAGTCCAAAATATCGAATTTGGTATGATTGCATATCTCGTTTGTGTGCACGGGGTTCCGAACGAGATCGGAACACCCCGTCGGAGTTTTCAGTTTTGGAAATTATTGCAGAAAATCTGCAATAAATGCAGAAAAACAGCAACATATTTCCAAACTTCAAACCCTCATCACTCTCTCATCAGTCAACCGATTTGGGCGATTCAAAAGGCAAAGTTGTGAGATTTTTTGAGGACAACGTGTTGGCGAGCTCGGATAGTGATTTGGGGTCTCCGTTTGAGGTAAATTTCGTAAAATACCTGCTGCCACGATCCTTTCTATGAGCTTGATTTTGGAAAATTTTGAGACTTGTTTTCTCAGCCTTTTTAGGTTCGATTTCAGTGACTTTTGAGTCTATCTTGAGTGGTTTTTTGAGGAGAACGTAGTAATGTTGTCGCATTTCACTGTAGACCTCCAGTTTCTGGTGAATATACTGATTCAACTGCTGTCCCATTTCTAGTTTTTGAGAAAATTTGGGTTTTGGTTGCATGTTGATATTGTGTTATTCTCGAGCCCCGAATTGTGTCCCATGTTGGGACATGAGCTGGGGGAACTGGTTAGGACCCACTTTTTGGGTTAATTCCAGAATTTCCAGTGCGGGTCCCACTTTTCCCATTTTGACCCCGAAATTGACCCATCTTCGTTTGTTGTGATTTTGGTGTCTAAATGACCGTAATAACGTTGTGACTCTACTTTTTATAGCGAGGTAGTGTTTCGAGGTCGTTCGAATAGGGAAAGCTCCGGTAACGTGATTTGGAGATCGCGTGATCGGCCTTAAGGTAGGCTACGACTTCCTTTCTTTTAGATTGAGCTTAATTGTGTAAAAACATGTC